CTGTGGGCCGCCGGCGAGGAAGTGGCCCTCGAGGAAGCCAGGTTCCCCGGGGCAGGGACACGCGTGGGGCCAGAGGCCTCCAGCCCCGGGCAGCCACCTGGCAGCCGCTCCACTCCCATCAGCCCCCGCGGCCTCACGGACAGGCCGCCCAGCCCGGCCGCTCCGACTTCCTGACCTGCAGAAGGGGTGCCCGTCTTCGTGTGGCTTCACGCTCCCAGTCTGGGGGTAGCTGGTCCTCACCACCGAAAACTGAGGTCCAGAATCGTCACATGACGTATCCATGGAACATGCTAGAAAGAGACCGAGCCTGACGTTGGAGCTGGTCCTTGGGGCTGAGCTGCCCTCGTCCTGGGTCCTGTGGCCGCGATGGAATCACCCAGGACACCTGCGGCCTCCGCCTGGCGGCTCTGGACCCTGCGGCCTGTCGCATGCACGGGCCCGCAGCCTGCTGAAGGTGTGTGCAGAGCTGGGACCTGGAGGGCGTGGAGAGCGGCGGCCCTGACTCCCCGGATCTCAGGGGAGGCCGCTGGGCTGGGGCCAGGCCGGAGCTGCTAATGGAAGCGCCCAGGCCCCAGCGGCTGCGTCAGCTCCTGCCCACTCAGCTCTGCAGGGAGCCCGGCCTGCGCAGCGTTATCGACAACCGGCTGCCAGGAAGGCCGGCCTGGGAGGCGCAGTGTGAGGGAGGGGCCCTTGGAGCATCGGCTGTGGATCCCGGAGCCGTGGGGGGACCTGGGCCGAGGGAAGGGCGGGGCGGGGCCAGGTGGGGGTCCAGGGGGACCGGCCAGGGTTGGGAGACACTGACGGGCGAGTCGACAGGGAGGCACGGTGGGTGGGAGAGACTCCAGTTGGCTCTCGATGCTGGGCGAGCGGGCGAGCGGCCGCGGAGGATGGGAGGATGGGCTGAGCGCAGGTCTGGGTCTGCCCCGGTCGTGGGAAGGTTGACGAGGCCACTGGACACCAGGTCAAGGTGCCGAGTGGATGGTTGGACTTGGGGATCTGGGGCTCAAGACAGAGGTCTGGGCTTGAGGTCCTGCTGCAGAATGGTCAGCCCCAAGGGGCGTGGCAGCCCTGAGGCCGGTCAGTGCACCCGGGGAGGGGAGGGCGGGGATGGAGTCCCTGGGCCCATCAGGGCAAAGGGCCTGTGGGGACGAGACTGCGCAGCCAGGGGGATTCAGGAAGTCAGCAAGGGGGATCCTGGAAGCGGGTGAAGGCCGAGTCCAGAGGAGGGCATGACCGCGGGGTTGAGCGCTGCCCTTAGGTCGGCCAGAGACCCGAGGCCTGGCCAGCCCTCACATCGCGAGCTTAGGACTCTGGCCATCACCGCGTGGGCTGGACGCAGGAATGGGCCGCTGAGCCGTCCTGGCTCAGTGGAGACAGGGAGGCAAGCTGTGTCTGGCAGCCGCTTTGTCACCATGAGGCCATCAGCGGAAAGAAGCTGTTGTGGGGAGGACCCTGGGACCTGGGGCTCGGGCTGCCTGTGCCGGCCAGTCCCGGTTCCCGAGGCCGAGAGCGCTGGCGAGGCGGGCAGGGAAGCCGCTGTCCGGTCAGTGCCGCGAGGGCAGAGTCCGTGTGGCTCACAGTGTCCCCGGTGATGAGCGCGCCTGCACGCAGACACGTGCCGTCGCATGGACGCGCCTCAGGCCCTGTCGGAGCAGGCGAGACAGACACTGCGTGCGACCAGCCCCCAGGACCGCGGTCAGAGGTCGACACAACCCGTGACACAGCCGGGTCTGGGCGCCGGGTGCTTTCGTTTCGGGCTTCGCCGGCTGCAGGTGAGGGCTCCGAGGGCCGAGCTCAGCCCTGCGCCGCGCAAACGCAGCGGGCGGCCCAACCAGGCGGGGGTGCCAGGCCGCGAGGTGCTGTGTTCTGAGGGTGGAACCCTCCGCACATTGAGCGCCTGCTGCCTGCCAGGCTCGGCGTGTGAGCACACAGCCCGTCCACAGGGTCCGTGAAACCTGGTGGGCACGTGGGCGGTGCCGGGCTCTGGGCTGGGCGCGTCCTAGGCCAACCTGGAGCAGCCCCACGGGCAGCGAATTCTGCCTTTAGACCCCCTTTCGTCGTTGAGGCTCAGAGAGGTGACTTACCTGCCCGTTTGCACAGCCAGCAGGGGTGGAGTGGTCCTCGAACCCAGGACCGGTCCTGCTGGCCTTGGGCCTGGGCTCCTTCCCCCTAAGAGGTGCCGGCCCCTCGCGGGGGGCGCGGAGCGGGTGCTGAGGCCCACACGCCCCTCACCTCGCACTGTCTGCGCAGAGGGAGGCGAGCTGCGCCCCCCACCCCCACCCCCGACGCCGGGGTCACGGCAGGACAAGGATAAGATTATCTGACAGTACTTTGCTCTCTCCCGTTGAGAAAAACAGCCACGAAGAAAGTGCCTCTCCAGCAGTCACGAGCAGGGAGGGTTTGCAAGTCCAGCCTCTGCTGGGCCCAAACCCCCTCCTCAAGGTCAAAGGGCAGATGGCGAGTCCCCAGGGAGAAAGACACTGTCAGGGTCACTCAGGACAGAGGGAGCCCCGAATCCCAACGCCTCCCCTTCATGCTGGCCGGGGCGTGGTGGCCTCCTCGGCTGGAGGCCCGAGGGTGACCCAGCAAGGCCCGGGCACTGGGTCCAGCCAGGCCAGCCGGGGAGCCCTGTGTCCCCCAGACAGGGCCTGTGACAAGCAGCCTCAATGCCCGGGAAAGTTCGCGGCCAGGAGGCTGTTGGGTGGGGAAAGTGGGAGATGAGGCTGAGGGCTGATTCTGAAGACATGGCTGTGTCTTTTAAAAAATTTATTGATTGATTTTGAGAGAAAGAGAAAGAGAGAGAGAGAGAGAGAGAGAGAGAGAGAGAGAGAGAGAGAGAGAGAGAGAGAGAGAGATTTGTTCCACTTATGCATTGATTGGTTGATTCTTTTTTTTAGGGTGTGAAGTTTTGTTTTTTTGTTTTTTAAATATATTTTATTGATTTTTCACAGAGAGGAAGGGAGAGGGATAGAGAGTTAGAAACATCGATGAGAGAGAAACATTGATCAGCTGCCTCCTGAACACCCCCTCCTGGGGATGTGCCCATAACCAAGGTACATGCCCTTGACTGGAATCGAACCCTAGACCCTTCAATCCATAGGCCGACGCTCTATCCACTGAGCCAAACCAGTCAGGGCTAGGGTGTGAAGTTTTTTGTTTTTTAATTTTATTTTCTTGTTGACAGTATTAGAGATGTCTCTCATTGTCTCCTGTTTGCCCCCCTCCACCAGCCCCTGCCCCACCCAGGCCTCCCCATGCTACTGTCCGTGTCCAGGGGCTGTGCACATGCGCATACATGCTCTTTGTTAACCTCTTCCTGTCCTCCCACCTCCGCTAGGGCCTGTGACTCTGTCCCCGGCACCCATGCCTCTGGACCTAGGTTGGTCATCGGTTTATTTTGTTCTTTAGATTCCACTTATGAGTGAGATCATGTGATATTTGTCTTTCTCGAACTGGCTGAATTCGCTTAGCATAACAGTCTCCAGGTCCCTCCATTGCTGTCTCAAGGGGTAAGAGGCCCTCCTTTTACACAGCTGCATAGGTTCCATGGTGCAAACGTATCATTGGTGGGTTCTTGTATGTGCCCTGGCTGGGCATCAAACCCGAAACGCTGGCGTACCGGGACGACGCTCTAACCAACTGGGCTATGTGGCCAGGGGCCGGGCGTGTCTGGATCCAGCCGCACCTGGAGCTGCTCCCTGCAGAGCCTGGTGATTGTGTGGACACCTTCTGCTCCCTCGGGCCACTTGGAGTTGGGTTCTTGTCACAACCACAGAATTGGAGGGTGGGGTGAGCTGTGCTTCCCTTTGTGACAGGGAGTGGGGGTCCTCCGGACGGGCCCAGCCCAGGGCTTCCCTGGCCCGGATGCAGGGGCCTCCCCGGAGCCCCTCCCCCTGCGCTCTCAGGCCAGGGCTACACCGCTGGCTCAGAGGGAACTTCAGGCCTGGAGAGGGGAGGGGACCTGCCCCCCTTCCAGCCCAGAGCCCGTGGCTTCTGTTCCCCAAATGTCTGTTTTAAAATAGAAGTGACTGAGTTTCTTAGACAAGTAATATGAACACATCACAGACCACCGGACACCGGGCGAAAGGCACCGCCCATCAGCCTTGCGTCCAGACCCGCTCCGCAGAGCCCAGCTTAGAGGACGGACCGCACGCCGCCTGGGGACGCTGGGCCTGAACAAACAGCCATCCCCGCACGGACGCCGTTCCCTACAACAGGACAGCGCGAGGGCCCTGGCTGTTCCCAGGCTCGTGACTTCAAGTTGTGGTGCTCGGAACCTTGGAGCACGTGGCCGTTTCTTCTGCCAGGCGTTCGGCCGTGGGACTCCAGGTGGGGCCGTGGCCACCCGAGTGGCTCCTTGAGCGCGCCGGCTGGCAGCTCTGACTTGGACGGCACCAGCTCTGGGAATGGGGTGCTGACCCCACGGCCCTTCCTCCACTCAGGTTGTCTCCCCCCATCCGCCCGGAAATAAAACCCTAATTCCTTACTTTGTGCTCAAGGTCTGAGCGACCTGCCCCACTGCCTACCTCTCCCAGCTCCTTGCCTCCTGCCATACCCACTCCCTTGTTCCTGGGACAAGCCAAGCCGGTTCCTGCCCCAGGGCCTTTGCTCCTGCGGCTGCTGTCTCTGTCCTGAAGGCTCCGTCTAAATCGTCTCAAAGTTGCTCGCTCTCCAGGCCTCCCTGGCCACCTGACTTCTCTTCTGGAAGAGTGTATGCTCGGGACTCCGTGCAGACACCGGCCCCGTGGGGTGGCCGTCTTCTCACAGGGCCTGGCATGTCGTATTTGTAGAAGGAGCGAGGGGGCATTTCCGAAAGTAACCCTCTGAGCCCACTGTGACCCAGGGGAGGTCGCTGAGGCTCCGAGGTGCTGAACAGCCCCTGGTCGCACAGCCCTGCGGCTGGGAGCACGAGACCCCAGGCCCTGCCCACCCCCCACGCACCTGCCTGGCTCTGCCGTGTAGGTGTGAACTCTGGTGCCTACACGCGCATGGCCCGGTGGAAGCCTCTGAGCAGCACGGCATTTTAAACTTCCTAGTAGCCACACGAAACAAAGGAGAACCAAACGGGAAATTAATTGCAATCATATAATTTATTTAACTCAATGGTATCATCCTAACATGTGGTTCATATAAAAATTACCGAGACATGTTATGCTCTTCACTTTCCTATGAGGCCTGCGGAGGCTGTGGGCTTTGCCCGCAGAGCGCACCCGTCTGGGGCAGCCGGTTTCCAGTGCCCACTGTCCAGGCCTCGCCTTCGCTTTGTGAAGCCACCCAGTGCCCGTGACATGGCTCTTCATTCACAAAGTAGTTATCAATTCTGGGTTTTAAAAATATATTTTTTTATTGATTTCAGAAAGGGAGAGGGAGAGAGAGAGAAACATCAAGGATGAGAGAGAATCATGGATCGGCTGCCTCTGGCACACCCCCCACTGGGGATCCAGCCCACAACCCGGGCATGAGCGCTGATTAGAATCGAACTGTGACCTCCTGGTTCACACATAGGTTGATGGTCAACCACTGAGCCACGCCCATCAGGCATTCTGGGGTATTGTAAACTTCATTTCTGTGTGTAAATTTTGAAAATAAAATAAAAACAATTAATAGGGAGTTATAAACAACCCTATAGAGAATGGCTTCCCTGCTTGCTGGCGGCTTCTCCCTTTCTGGGGAGCCTGGACTAGTCACAGGGCCCGGGGCCTCGAGATAATGACTTAATTAACGCCTGCCTGGGCACTTTTGATCTTCAAGGAGTGGTGCCCACTCGGCTGAGGCTGCTGCTGGATTAATTGCCCTGAACTGAGAAAGCCTTGCCCAGAGATAAAGGGCACCGAGGGGTTTCATCATGACAAATTGCTCCGAAATCCGCTCTGGCACCAGCGGGGGCCTGGGTTTGGACGCCCAGCTGGCCCTCACCTGCACAGCTGGGTGCCAGGGCTCTGCCTGTGTGCCCAGGGGCATGTGCACTGCGGAGGCAGCTGTGCGTGCAGGGTGACGGGCCTCCATTGTCCAGATGAGAGAACCGAGACTTGGGGCCGCCGGGCCTGGGTGTGCCCCCCATCTCCTGGCACCTCTGGACCAGGGATCAGGTGGGCCTGGGCCCCAGGATTGCAGGCGACTCTCCCGACAGCACCCTTCACAGTCCTGTCGAGCTGCAGACAGATGCCACCCAGTGACCGTGGCGCCTCACCAGCCTGTGCCGAGCAGCGGGACCACGGGAGCTGGAGCCAGCAGGGCCCCCATCAGCTCTGGGACCTCTGCACGGGGGTTTTAGGGTGCCGTGGGCTGAGCACCCAGCGTGCTGGGCTCTCTGCTAGTGCTCACCTGAGGTTATTTTTCCATCGATCCTTCAGAGAAGGAAAGAAGAGACACAGCCATCTGAGAGAAACACATCGATGGGTTGCCTCCTGCACTCGCCCTGACCAGGGAAGAGCCTGCAACCGAGGTACATGCCCTTGACTGGAATCGAACCCAGGACCCTTTGGTCCGTAGGCCGACGCTCTACCCACTGAGCCACACCAGCTAGGGCGCTGACAGCCCTTCATAAAGGCACCTTGCCCGCCTCTAGCCCTGCCTGGCTCTGAGGTGGACCAGGCCTTCCTGACCCTCCCGAGTGCCAGGAGGGGCCTCCAGGGGCGGGTGCCCAGCCAGTCACCTCAGCTGTGCGGTGGCCTCTCCCCACCTACTTGGAACACCTGACTCACCTTAATGATGGGCCTCGGGCAAGGCCGGGGCGGCAGAGAGCTCCGGAGGCGACTGGCATCCCCTGCCTAGGGGCACCCTCCCTCCCACCAGCAGCTCCCCAGCCTGGGGACCCCTGCCCCCTTCTTCCACCAGGTCTCTCCCGCTGGCCTCCGACACACACCTTTGGCCTGGGTTTTCCTGGGTCCCCACCCACGGAACCCGGAACCAGGCCTTTGCTTCTTCCTGCTCAAGTGTATTTAGCCTCTTTATCAAATGTTTGCAGGGATCCGTGCGAACCTCTTCGACTCCATTCCCGGGGAAAGCAGCACCGACCACGCCTTACCTGTGGAGAACGCCCCTCCTGGGCCGGCCATCGGGCGGCAGATGCCCCCTCAGCCGAGCATCCCACCACCACCTCCCCACGCAGCCCCTGCTCCAGGCGCTGGAGTCTGAATAGGGGGTGCTGAGGAGGAACCCAGGTCCGGGAGAAGGGGCCGTGCAGGAGTGGTTCTCCCCAAGCTGGTGACCTCTTGGTCCAGTCAATCCTCCAGTCTCCATTTCCAGTTCTCGAAACAGCGGCTGCCAGTTCCCTCTGAGGACGGGAGAGGGTGGGGCGGGCTGGGTGCTGGGGTTCCCGTCCCACCCCAGGGCAGGCCTGGGGCTGCACCCCGTGTGGTGCCCCAATTCCCCCCAGGCGGCTGTCGCGTGGCTGCAGAAGTTTTTGCCACCCTCAGGAAGCCACAGTCGCTGTTGTTGTGGTCGCTATGACGACGTGAGCGGGTTTTATTTTTAATAGCGGCTTGAGATTAGAGGGAGGGAGGGAGGGAGGGAGGCCCGCCTGCTCCCCCCAAAGCTCTCCAGTCTGGGGCAGGCTTGACCCTGCTCCCCTTCCCGCTCTGGTCGGAGAAGATCCGTGCCCCCAAACCTCCCTGCTGGCCCCAAATTGGAATGGGGTGTCCCTGAAGTGCCAGGCCGCTCAGGGTGCATGGACCCCCAGGAGCTGGGCCTGTGCAGGGCCCTTTTCTCCTTTGTTTCCACCCCTGGTACCAAGCTGAGTCCTTGAATCACCCCAGGGAAATGCCCTTGGGCCCTGCCTGCCGAATACCAGGGTCTCAGCTGGGTGGTGCGGTCACTCTCAGATGTGTGGGCAGCAGACGGCTCCCACCGGCTCCAGCCAGAGGCCTGCTTTCCAGAAACTTCCAAGGGTCCCTCTCGGAAGCTATTTAAGGTTCCACCTGGACAGACAAGGGGTGGCTTTCACGTGCTCCTCATGGTCTCCAAGTTCCCGGCTTCTGCCTGGGCCCTCCATCCCGACCCTCCATGGGCCTGCGGGTCTGCAGGGCCCCGTGTTGTGGGGAGGCCGCAGGGGCGTGAAAGCCTCTGGAAGGAACGTAGACCGAGGTCCTCTGGGACCCGCAGGAGAAGCTCCCCACGCCCAGGAATCTGCGGAAAGGCCAGCGCCCCAAAGCCCCTCCGGACTCGGCCTTTGAAATGCCAGGTGCGGCCCAGCCGAGATGAAAGCGGGCTGCGCCTCCACCGCGGGGCTGGGGGTCGGGGCGGGCCCTTAGGCGGGTCGTCGGCCAGCCGCCGGGGTCCTGGCTCTAGAGCTTTGGGGTCGCTCGCCCCTCACTCACTGCTCGTGCTCTGGTCCTGAACTCGGCTCCCGCCCAAGGGACGAGGGACGAGCACTGGCGGGCGACAGGGCCCGCCGGGGTCCTAACCCACCTGGTCGAGGCGGGAGTCCTCCGGGTCGGGGCGCACCCACCCTTCGTGGAGGCGAGCGGTCCAGCCGCGCACTGGCCTCGGCTCCCCTGGTGCTGCCCCCGCACCTCCAAGTCGCGCCCAGGCGAGAGGTGGCGCTCTGTGCGCCCCGCGGATCCGTCGCCTGAGGCCCACACTCTCTCCGGGGTTCCCGAGGAGCGGCTCCCTTCCCCACCATCCCCTCGAGTTCCCGGCTCAGGCCGCGGCCCGGCCTTCCACGCGGGAGTGGGGACTTGGGGGGGCTCCCGCACCTCGGGATGTGGGTGGAGGCTCCGCATTCAGACGCCCCCGGCACCGGGTCGTGGGCGGGGGCGCGTGGCCGCCGCCAGGTGAGTGCCCAGCAGCGCCCCGAACCCCGCCCCACTTTCCACCACGGCCTCACTCCCCTCCTTTTATGGCGAGCGGGGGCGCCTGGGTCCCAGCGTGGAGAGGCCGGAGCGCCGATCGGGGCAGCCCGCTTTTGCCCTTTTTGGCGTCGCAGCTCCGGCGCTGCCCTCGGCTGCCGCTGGGGCCGAGGCGAGTCGGCTTCTGCGCGGCCTCCTCCCTCCGGGCCGGGACCGCAGGACCGCAGGACCGCAGCGGGCGCAGGGGGTGGGCGAGGCCGCGGGAGGGCCGCGGCCCCCGCGGCAGTGCTCGGAGCGGGCGCAAGGTTTGGATGGGTTTCCCCGCCCGCGTGAGCGCGTGTGTGTGCTCCGTGTGGCGGCGGCCGGGCCCGTGCGGCCCCCGCGTGCTTCCGAGGTGCGGGTCCCGGGCCTGGAATCCGGGGGAGGCGGGAGGGAGGGGGCGGGGGAGGGGCGCGGCGGCGGCGCTATAACCCCCTCCCCGCCGCCGGCCGGCTCCACACGCGCGCCCCGAGGAGCCCGCACCACTCCCGCGAGCCGGGCCTGTCCGCGCCTGTCCCTCTGCCGGTGGCGGCTGCCGCCCGGCTCGGTCCTGCGCCCGCCCTCAGGCCCGCGCGGAGAGGCCCCGTGCGGCCGGCGGCGGCTGCCCGGCTCGGGCCGGCGGAGGGCGGGGCACGGCGCGGAGCCGAGGGCGCGCCGCGGAGGGGCGCACGCAGGCCGCCGGGCCGCGCTGTGCTGTGCTGGGCCGCGCCGTGCCCGGCCTGGCGGCGGCGGCGGCGGCGGTGGCGCCGAAAAGAGGCCGGAGGCAAGCGCGGGGCCGACGGTGGGCGCGCAGGGCCGCCCGCAGCCCGCAGAGCGCGCGAGCCCGAGGCCGAGTCTGGCCCGGCATCCAGACAGGTGATGGGTGGTGCGGCGGCGGCGGCGGCTCCGGCCTCGCTCCGGGCTCCCTCCCGGGGCTGATGCCCGCAAACGTGCAGAATTCCCGGCCAGGTCGCTCCTAAAGCTGCGCCCGGGAGCGAGCGCGGCGGCGGCCAGCACCGGAGACACACCAAGGAAGAAGCCCAGCCCCCGCCCTCCGCCCCTTCCGTCCCCACCCCCTACCGGCGGCCCAGGAGGATCCCGGCGCGACGGGCGCGCACTCCTGCTCCTCCTCCTCGCCGCGCTGCCTCCTCTGCACTCGCTGCTCGCGCCGGGCGCGCTCCGCCTGCTCGCCGCTCCGCGCCACCCTCCGGGCCGCGCTCCCTGAGGGATGGTCCTGAATCTCGCCGCCACAGGAGCCCGGCTGGAGTGCCCGCCCCGCGGCCTCGCCTCCTCGCCGAGCCGCCAGCGCCTCGGGACGCGATGAGGACCTGGGCTTGCCTGCTGCTCCTCGGCTGCGGATACCTCGCCCATGCCCTGGCCGAGGTGGGTGCCACCCCGCCCCGGACCCTCTGACTGCCGGGCGCACGCCCCCTGCAGTCGCCCGCGGCCGGGGCGCCCCTGGCTCGGCGCTGCAGGGCGCGTTTTGATTTCTGTTGGGTGCTCGGTTTTTAAATTTTCCCAACTGGGTTCTATTTTCCGCCCGAGTGTGCTGGTGAGTTTCCAGCGTGTGGCGTCGCTCTGCCGAGGGGGGACGAGTGGCGGGCGGCAGGGTGGACGAGCGGGGAGAAACTTCGGGGGGCGAGGGCTCCTCTCCGGGGAGGGAACCCGGGCGCGGCGGGCAATGCAGTGTCGGGGTGCGGGGACCGCGGAAGGGGGTGTGTGTGAGCCGGTGGAGCCGGGGCGGGGGAAGAGCGGCCGGGAAGCAGGTAGGGGCCCCCGGCGGTCCGGGTGGGCAGCGCGGAGCCGCAGCTCCGGGTACCCGGAGGCCAAGCCTGGCTGAGCGCTGGGCCGGCGCAGTCCCGCCCGCCTGGGCCTGCTTACAGGTGGCTGAGCAGGGCGAGCCGGGCCGGCGCCCGCGCCCGCCCTGAGCTGGCGTCTTCCCCCACCCCTCGCCCCCCATCTCCGATCCCGAATCCCGGAGCTCGCTGGATCAATGACTCTCTCCAGCCCCCCGTCGTGGGAACTTAGTGCCGGAGACCCCCAGCAACCCCCAGGCCCTTTAAAAAGCGGGGCGGAGTGGGGGAGGCCGAGGGGTGGGGGTTGTCTGGGCAGGGACCCGGGAGCCGCCGGAGGGAGAGATTTAACCCTCACATCCCTGCAGCCTCCCCCGGCCTCCGGCTGGATTTGGGGCGTCCTCGGCGGCGCTAGGGCCGCTGCTGGGCCGGAGCGGGTGGGGCGCGTGAGTGTGGGCGGGTGTGTGTGCATGTGGGAGCCGGAGACCCTCTCCCGCGCAGGGTCGCCGGTTCCGGGGGTGAAATCCAAGCCCCGGCTGGATAAAGTGTTAGGGCTGCCGCGACTCCCGTCGCCCATCCGTGACGCATTTCAACTTGAGCTTCTGGATGTTGATTTCACTCCTGAATCAGAAACTCCCGGGCCCCTCGCGGCCCCCAGGCCGCCTGTAACTGACACCCCGCGCGGAGGGGCTGGAATCGGGGGTGGGGGGGCTTTGGTTTGAAAATTTAAAGGAGGGGCGGGCTTTTTTTTTTTTTTTTGCAGAGGGCAGACATGGATGGGGACGGGTACTTTGGGGGTCTCCGCTGCCCCACCCTCGACCTCCCGCTCCACGGCCAGGCCAGGGCGGGGGTCGGGTGGCCTCTGGTGCGAGGTGCTCACGTGGGGCGGGGCCGGGAGCCGTCTGGGGCGGGGGCGCGCGCTCGGGCGGGGGCGGGGGGCGTGAGCCGGCGGGGCCGGCCCGGGCTGACCGTGTGTGTGGCTCTGCTTGCAGGAGGCCGAGATCCCCCGCGAGGTGATCGAGCGGCTGGCGCACAGTCAGATCCACAGCATCCGGGACCTCCAGCGACTCCTGGAGATAGACTCCGTAGGTAAATCGCGCCCCTGCCCTCGCGCGCGGGGAGGGCGCGGGGAGGGAGTGCGCCCCGCGGGGCCTCCTGCGTTCGGGGTCGGCCGCCTCCCGCGCTCGGGCCGGGCGCCCGGAGGAGCGCACCGAAAGGTCAGAATCCAATCCCGGGCCATAAAAGCCCAGGCGGATGAGTCAGGAGTTTCTCTTCCAATCACCACTTTCTCTCCCGCCGCGCAGCGGGCTGCGCGCTCGCCCGGAGCTTGTTTTTGCCTTTAAGGAACTTGCCGCGTGTGTCACGGGGAGTTCAGCCACATAGAGGGCGCCGGTGCCCGGCCAGGTGCGCCCGCCTGGGGCCTGCCCTCCAGCCGGGAGGAGGGGTGGGAGCCGGCCGGCCCGGGGCACAGCCCTAGAGGTGGGCGGGGTCGCAGGCTGGGCGGGTGAACCGGGGGTGCGGGGGGAGTCCCTGTGCGTCCCCAAGAGCTTGCCCACTCTTGCCCGAGGCTGCGCTTTTCTGGTCCCGGCGGCCCTGTCTTCTCTGTTTTCACGAGGCAATAAAAAGGTGCCCCCGGGACAGACACATCTGGTGTTTGGGGACTATTTCGGGCCTGGCCCTTAGGCCCTGGAGCCCAGCCACTGCAGACACGTTTATCTGGGAGGCAGACAGGACACGCTCTGGTGTCTGGACCGGGGCACAGGTCTGGGCCGGGTGGCTGGTGAAGGGGAACAGGGGGTGTTGGGTGGCTTTGCCGGGGTGGGGGCCAGAGAGCCGGTCCAGGAAGAAGACACGTGTCCAGCGTGGGAACAACACTCCTGCCGGAGAGCCTGCCGTGGACTGACACAGGCCCCGGTGTCCGTGGAAGCCGCCGGGGAGACTCAGGGAAGATCTCTCTCTGGAAAGAGGAGGGGTGGGGCATGGAGGGCAGCCACAAGGGCCGGCCATTTGGAAATTTGTACCTAGTTGTGGTGGAGAGGCCTGCACTGTTTTCATTTCGTGCCAAGAACGTCTTCCCGCGGCCGGCGGGGCCTGTGTCTCCTGACCCAGGAAATCCTCTGGCCGATCCTTATCGCAGGGGTAGGGTTTCACTGGGAGATCAGATGGGGCTGGGGGAGTGTTATCTGCTCCTTGATGTGTAGCCCTGGGGAGAAGGGTTTGTTTTGGGGGGAGCCAGGAAGGCGGGTCCCTGTGGATTTGGGGGTGGGGCCCCCAGAGAGAGCTCCCCGCTTTCTGTTTTCTTTTTCTGGCTCGAGGATGGGAAGGCCTGCGGAGCCGGTCCCCGCGGGAGGGCTGTGGGACGGGGGGAAATGGGAAATGGACCATCAGCGCTCTTCGGGCCCCATTCTTATGCTGGTCTGTGCAGCCGCCTCCCCGCCCCCACGGAGAATGCAGTGCGGGGAGGGGGGGGGGCTGTCCTGCCGGCACTCCGGGCCCACAGCCTCTGGGGCGAGGGGAGGGGTCCCAACCGGGAAAGCCGGGATTCACAGTCAGTTTTTTGCTGGTTTCGAATTGCCCCTCATAAAAAGCCCCAGGGGCTCCCCTCCCCTCGACCCCCAAGGAGGGGGTCGGTGGCTCACCTGCCCTGGCCTACCTGTCAGACTTTCCTGCTGGGAGATTTGGGGTGAGAGGAGAGCAGGGCCTCCCTTGCTCGCTATCGCACTCCTAGGGGGTCCTTGTGACCCACACCCCAGAGTATTTATCCTGGTCGCCTCCTCCCCTTTCTCAGACCTGGGAGCTGAAAACCAGAGAAGACCATGGCCTCTGGCTGAGCACAGGGCTGCACCTGTTGCTTCTAGAGCTTGCGGGGAGGGGGGAGGGGTTCCCCCAACCCCTGTTCCCGCCCAGAGTGGAGAGAGGGCCACAGCAGGCTGCTGGGAAGGCTGTGAGCAGCTGTGGAGGATCAAGCTGCCCTGCAGGCCATTGCCAGCCCCGCTGGGGTCAGTGCGGAGGGGCTGGGTGTGGAGACCCCCCCCCCTCGCCAAGGGGTGTTTCCAAGTCGACCAGATGGGAGGCCAAACCCCAGGAATCAGAAATGAGTGTTTTTAAACAAAGTGGCTCCTCCCTCCTGTGGACGGAGCTTTGTGATTGGCATGTGGGGTTTTGGGCTCCTCCCAGTGACCGGGCTGCGTTCCCATTTCACAGGTGAGACACTGAGCCTGCAGCTCCTGGGAGGTGTGGTTGGAGGCCCTGAGGCAGAGGTTCCCTCACTGAGCCTGTGAATTCATTCTGAGTGTGCGGGAAGGGGAGTCGATTTCTCACGTGCGCGGTTGTGTGTGAGTGTGTGTGAGTGAGTGTGTGTGTGCAGTTGGGGCCTGTTTGTCCAGTGGCCGGAGCTTTGTTCTGAGCTGTCTGGCCCAGTGCCCGAGGGTCATTGAGTAAGCGATACATAAAGATCCCCTCTTGGGCCATTAACTTTGCTCCGGGACTGAAGGCCTGAGGACTCCTTGGCTCTGCCTAAAAGACCAGGGAAGCCACAGGTTACCTGTCCTGGGAGCAGTGGGGCAGCCCTCTCTGCCCGCTCTCAGCCACCAGCGGGAGGGAGGCCGCCTGTGCCCGCAGTCCGGCGGGTGTGCTAACCACACATTGTGCTGGGCGGAGGGTGGGCTTGTCTGACCAGGAGCCATTTCTGCCGCCTCTTGTCTCCAAGCCGGGTCAGATTTCCGCCGGTGGGTGAGCGGGGAGGCCCCGTCCTCTGCTTCTGGGGCTGGAGGAGGCCTGGGCGGCGGTGAGGCTGAGCGGGGACACAGCGTCCTGTCGGAGGTGCCCCCTGTTTGTCATGCCTCCTCGTGGGCCTCCGTTTCCTTAGGCCCAGAGGGGTGCAGTGCCCCCTGCGCACACGGGGGGAACTGCGTGTTGAAGTCAGCGGTCAGCGGTCAGCGGTCAGCAATGGGCTGTGGGAAGGCGCCGGGGACGGTGCTGAGTTCTCTCGGCCGAGGATGGGCCGGCTGCTCCCTGCTCTTCGGTTCAGCGATAGCAGGAGGGCCACCACGGACGTGACTCATGAATGTCCCTCTCTTCGTGAAAGAGCGCTTCTTGTAGCAGCTGCTGCTGGGAAATTCTTACAGCATGAGTAGTTCTGTTCTGTCTTATTTTGGGTCTCAGAAAAATAGTGGTCGTGGAACACTGAGTCACTTTAAGTGGAAAGTTGGGTTCCGCTCAGACTTCAAAAGAGCGCGGCTCTTGCCCTTGGCCCCGTGGGCATGGTGCTGGTTCTGGGTTTAGAACGAGTGGGCGATGTCCAGGCCTCTTGGGGCCAGGGTGCGCCTGGAGGGCGAGGAGGGGCCGGCGGGGATCTTTGTGCCGCTGCTGACTTCTCAGGACCCTGCCCCTGGTCACCTACTGGGAGGGGGACGGAGGGGAGGAGTGGCAAAGCCCCCAGCTGGGTCTCGGCAAAGGCAGGAAGACCAGCTGACCCACCTTTTCCCTCATTCCTCTGAGAGACCTGGGGGCCCTGGGGAGCCGAGGCCTTTTCTTCCTGCAAGTGCCTGTGTTGTCGGTCACCAGGCCTCCCCGCTCAGTCCTGCAGCTGCTCCCCACTCAGCTCAGTGGGGGCTCGCTCCCCTCTGGTGTTTCTTGGGGGGTCTCCGCCTCAGTGGACTTGCTTCGGGAACAGTGGGGTTTGCTGTCTCCAGTGCCTCCAAGGCTAGGACACTCCGTGAGGGTCGGGTGAGGCGGGGTGGGGGCGGGGACGAGAGACACAGGCACGTCCAGCAGCACCCGCCTTGCTGTCCTCCGTTCAGCCCCTTCCAAGGGGCCATCTGGGAGGTGGGCCCAGCTGGGAGCCACTCGCCTGTGGGCTCTGGGTCTGTGGACTCAGAGGGCCGGCCTTGGGCCTCCCTACCTGGTCAGCCCTCACCTGGGCCTCCTGGGAGGAGACGGACACCCTGCCCTCCCCACAAGTCCACAGCTTTGCCGCGCAGTGCGGTGAGGGCACCACACGTGGGGGACTCCGTGTAGGCTTTGCGGGGTCGGGGGGTGCCGGGCAGCTGGGAGTCCCTCACACCCTGCACATCCGGACATTCCCCGTGAGGGAACCCCGTGAGGGAATGGAAGCCTCCCAGGGGACCCTCTGTCTTGGGGAATGAGGGTGGGGTTGAGCTGCAGGAGGTGCTGTGGTCAGGCCTGGGGGGCAGCAGGTTATCGTGTCCTCTTTGTACCTTCAGGGGCCGAGGATGCTCTGGAAAGCAGCCTGAGGGCCCACGGGGGCCGCACCCCCAAGCACACGCCCGAGAAGCGGCCTGTGCCCGTGCGGAGGAAGAGAAGCATCGGTGAGTGAGGGGCTGGGGGGCCGGAGAGGGGCCCCGAGGCAGCTTCCCTCCTTCCTCCTCCAAACAAAGGCCCAGCCTGCTCAGGGGCCCCTCCCTGCTGCAGGGGTGTCTCCCTGCCCAGCCCGCCGAGAGCCCCTGGAGAGGGAGCCGTCATAAATTCCTTAAGTGCCGGTCTTGTTGGGGCCTGCTCCCGGGAGGCCGCGCTGGAAGACGCCAGTTCCATTTCCAGTTCGTCATGCGGAGCCCGGGCGCTCCTGGCTGCGCGGAGGCCCCTTCGTGCCCGCACCACCTCCCCCCGCGCACCCCCCTTCCCCCGGCTCCTGGGGCTCCACATCGGCCTGGGTTTGGGGGTGTTGGTTCTTGTCCGTCTCCCAGAGCAGCCCAGGTCTGCTCACGTTGGAGCTCGGAGGGGCTCTGCACCTTCCTGCCCTGGGGGTGCCGTCGGCCGTGGCCCATCCCGCCCCACGCCACGGGGCTGCCCTCTTCCCGCGGCTGCTGCCTGTGGGCTCTGCCTGGCCTTGGGCAGGTGACCCCACCCCAGCTTTAGTCCCTCCGAGACGAAGGGTCCTGTGGGTTCTACCGCTGAGCATGGGGTGTGGGCGTGATTCCTGGCTCAGGCAGTCGGCCTCTCCCCAGTGATGTTCTCGGTGTTGTGACCACGTAGGTCACGTCCTTGCAGCAGCCGGGCTCCCTGGAGGGTGTGGGTCCGATCCAGCCAGGAGGGGCCTCCTTGAGTAAAATAAGGAGCTGGCCAAAGGCCTCTCCTGGCTCCACTCCCAGCCCATCTGGTCCGGTTCCCCTGTGCTTCCCTCAGGGGGTGCAGCAGTGGTGGCTTATTCTCGGGGCGCAGGTCCCTGCTGGGTCTCCCAGGCTCCCCGAGGTCTTCCCACCCGTGTGAGGAGGGGTGTAGCAGCTGACACGGGCGGAGGCAGAGGATGGTCCTCTGTCTGCAGGGTCGCGCCCCCTCCGTGCTGGGCCGCTGGGCTCGTGCGAGCCCGGGGTGTGCGAGTGGGTGCTGGGGCCGTGGTAGGCCCTGCACGCTGGGGAGGCTCCTTCCAGTCCGGCCCTAGGGTCCCGGGGGCCCTGAGTGTTGCTGGAGGCAGCTTCGGTGGGTGGTGGCAGACCCTGCTGGCGGGGCTCCCTGGGCACGTGTCTGGGGTCCAGGGGTGGGTTTCTCGTCTGTCAGTCCCTCCCCGGTGTCCTGTCCGTAAGGCTTTGGGCTGGACCGTGGATGTGTGAGGAGCACAGAGCAGAGGAGATCCAGGTCCTCCTTGGTGGACTCGGGGACTGGGTGTCCAGGCCTGGGTCTTCCATGTTCCTTCCTGCTGTGCCGGCCATGTGACCCCTCCTTCCCTGGTTCTCCCCATTGGGCCCTCTAGCCCCTGCTCATCCTGGGACAGCTCAGCGACCCCTGTGGGGTGTGGGGACCCTGGGGCTGTGACATGTCCCATTGGAGGAAGCAGCAGCTGCACGCCCAGTTGCCCGGGGCCAGCCCCAGCCCCAGCCCCCACCCCCGGAGGGGCTGCAGCCCTGGCTGGGGGAGGGGTGGCGGTCAGTGGACAGGCATGGCCTCCACACTCACCAGGCTCTCCCTCTGCAGAGGAAGCCGTCCCCGCTGTCTGCAAGACCAGGACGGTCATTTATGAGATACCTCGGAGCCAGGTGGACCCCACGTCCGCCAACTTCCTGATCTGGCCCCCGTGCGTGGAGGTGAAACGCTGCACCGGCTGCTGCAACACCAGCAGCGTCAAGTGCCAGCCGTCCCGCGTGCACCACCGCAGCGTCAAGGTGAGCCCAGCACGGCTGCCCGGGCACCTGCAGCACCTGAGGGGCTGGGCCGCACCGGGAGGCAGGGCTGCGCAGCCGAGGGTCTCGTCTCCTGCTCCGGGCGGGTGTCCGGGGGCCCCCGCCATCACAGGAAACAGTCGGGGGAAAGAGTCTTCCTTCACGGAGGCACCTTGGTGGGGGCTGGGTGCTTGGCAGGTGGGGTTGGGTCACCTCAGCCTGCACGGACCTGGGCATGTTGCCTGTAAATCGGGGAGGGCACCCCCCTTTCATGGTGTCGATGGAGTGTTTCTCTGGGAGGGTCCTTCTGGGGCTGCTGCAAGGCCACGCCTCCCTTGTTTCAGGAGGGACCGGTGGCTGGGGCCGACTCTCGCTGGGAGCCTGAGTGAGCCCCCTCTTCCTCAGGCTGGGCCGGCGGAGGTGCCCTCCAGGGCAGCACTGAGGGGGCGGTGCAGGAAGGTCACGTAGGAGTTCCCTGAGCGCCCCACCTGAGCCCTGGGGGGAAATGCTGCTTCTTTAGGTCACTCCAGGTGGCCAATGGCTGGCAGCTCCTCTTGGGACCTGCGTCCCCCTCCGGCTGCACTAACGTCATCTGTAAAATGGGTCTGAAGCTGGGCAACTGGGTGTCTGGGCTGGGAAACTAGAGAGCCAGCCCTTTAGGAAGGGGAGAGGGTTGGAGGGAGACTCGGGGCGCCGCCTGGCTTCTCGGGGGTGAGGCTGAGGCTGTGAGGCCAGTGCTTCCTGTCTGGGCTCTGGGGTGTGGGTCCTTCCTGGGCAGCAGGCCTGCGCCCCCCACTAAGCTTCCCCGGCAGGTGCGCCCACCCTCCTGGGTGGAAGGTGTCCGTCGGGGTGTGTAGAACTCACTCCTTGACTACGTGTTACTTCAAGCCCTCGGTGCCCTGCTGTCCGCCCCTGGTGTCGGCCCCGCCCCCACCCCCGCGTGAGGTGCAGGGGGAAACTTCCTCAGGGAGGACCGCGGCTCTGCCGGCCACCTGTCACATGAGAAGGCCCTTTAGACCCAAACCGGGGGCCTCCCTGGCCTCGAGGCCCAGGGCCCCGCGGAGGCTGAGGAAGCACATTCCACGGCCACACGCAAGGTGCTCCGAGGCCGGGAGCGCGGCCGGCGCTGGCCCCTCGCACTCTCCCGGTGGGGTCCTGGCGCAGACACCCGGCAGCAGGGAGGGTGGCAGCAGGGTGGGTGGGTGGGGCCGGCCCTCCCGGAGGGCGCGTCTCTGCCTGGGGCTCGGGGGGGGGGGGGGTGGCAGAGCTGGACCAGGGCCCCCCCCTGGGGCCTTCATCGCCCCAGCGGGGTCATGGTCAGCCCGGGAGGGGCCGGGGCCTCCATCCTGCAGCTGGTTCCGCCCGCGCCCTGCCCTGCTCTGCCTGCCCACCCTTGGAGGGCTGGCAGGAAAACATCCGGCGCAGACACTGGGGTTCTGGCTGAAAGGGGACAAAAGGTCAGTGGGAACAGGGGGCCATTGTGAGGGGGCCGTTCCGCCTCATCTGGGTGGAGGCCGAGTCCTGGATGGGCTGCGGCAGGTGGGAGTCCTGGGGGGTGGCTCCTCCCTGGCTTTCTGGCTTCCCAGCCTCTGGAGTCACAAAGGCGTCTTCTAAACGGAGACAACAGCCTGGCTGGGCGTGGTCACCCCCTGAGGCCCAGGAGAGTGAACTTGGCCGAAGCCTGCCCACTGGCCCCAGGCCCTGGGTGTCTGGACGTGCTGGGGTCGAAGGCCAGCCCCATGTGGGCCTGGAGCCGGGCTCACCCCTCCTCAGGGACCTGGCCCCCCTTCCCCTGCAGCAGCTTGATGGCAGCACCTGGGAGCAGGGGCCCCAGGCCCCCCCGAATAGGTAGGGACCCTAGCTGCCCTCAGAGGCAGGCTGGGGCCCAGGAGTCGACTTCCCTGAGCTGGGCTTGCTGTGGTCAGTGCTTGCTGTCCGCTCCCTGACTGGCTTCCCTGAGGAGCCTGTCCTTCCTCAGCCGCCGTGTGGGCCGACCCCGGGCCCTGTCCCCAGTCCAAGCCTCGGGGTCGGGACGGTGGTGGCCAGGACTCTGGTGGTGTGCCCAGCGGCTCAGGCCCCGGCCCCCAGCAGAGGCCACGGTGGGTCAGGGTGAAGGAGCTGCTGTGAGCCCCTCTCGGGGAGGGGAGCTGCAGATTGGGGCGCCCGTTTTGTCTGAGAGCACGGGCCAAAGTCCTTCAGTCACGAGCCTGGGCCGTCCCAGGGCTCCAGCGGCTGGGACCCAGCTCTGCTTTGCTGGACTTCTGGGAGGCAGGTCGGGTGGTCCTCCTGTGGTGCCCGGGACCGGCCTCTGCATCCTGTGGACGGGGTTAGCGGCACTTGGGGACCTCATGGCTGCATGGGTCCAGTTTAGGGCCTGGAGGTGAAGGTCTCCGGCGAGAGCCTTGGAGGCCGTGGCGGGCAGGGAGGCGAATAGCTTGGGCTCGGGAAGCTGCCCATGGCCCCGGGGGCACTGCCCATCGGGCCCAGGAGCCTCTGGGGTTGGCTTCGGTCCTGAATGGCTGTGGAGCCGGGCTGGGACATGGGGTGCCTGGAACTGCAGGGCCCGGGGCCGTCTCACCCGAGGGATGGACTTCCTCTAGTTAGGACGTCCCCTGGTTAAGGACCAGCTCGGGGCCCCTGCTGTTTCCAGGTCCAGGCCCCCTCCCAGCAAAAGAACAAGCCTTGTCTGCTGCCTCAGTTTCCTCATCTGTAAAGTGGGCGTGCTTGAGCCCTCGGTGGCTGTGAGCCTCACAGTGACTCACACAAGGGGTTCGGTCAGTGCTGGGCATCACGGAGGGTGCTCTGCCCTGACTCTGCCAGTCAGTCAGGACATAACCTGGTGGCGTCCCCTGCGGGCGTGGCTCTCCCCAGGCCTCCTGGGGGCGTCCTGCCTCATGGCAGTCCCTCCTGGTGAGCAGCAAGAGCTCAAGCTTCCCCTGTCTAGAGGGGGTGACGTCCCCGCTGGGTTCTGGGGTGCATTGGCCTGTGGTTCATTACACAGGCACCCTCAGTCGTGGGGAGTTGGGATGTTTGTTTTATACGGTGCAAACAAAGGGGGAAGGGAGGAGGGACATGGGGACCCCACTTGGGCTCCAGTGTGCGAGTCTGGGGGCTGAGGTTACGGGAACGGGGGCGGGGGGGGCTCTAGGGCGTAAATGTCTCGTTCTGTGGGCCTGGCTGGTGTGGAGGGTGCTTCTGAGAATTTAATATTCACAGCATGTTTTTGGGGGGACATGTGCCATTTCCTGCCTGGACAGAGGTGCGGGCACCCGGCACCCAAGCAGGCCCAGAAGCAGGTGCGTCGTAAATCGCTGCTTGTTTCTCTCGGACAAACACGGGCATGGGAAGTGGTCAGTGTTGTGTGCGTTTCACCAGGGGACCGGCAGGAGGTGTTTCTGGAATGTCTACCTCCCACCCACCCCCTGTGGTGGAGGACGCCTTGCCCCATTATGTCCAGGAGTCTGGGGGTCTCGGGGTCTCGGCTGAGCTGGGTCCCAGAGTCAGCCCCACACTGGAAACTGGGGGAGGCCCGGGAGCAAGAGGCCCTGCTCGGCCAAGGCTCCCCCCATAATAACCAGGGACACGTTGGGGAGCGTTGCCCTTTGCCCCAGATGCGCCTAAAACACGGAATCAAACACCTTCCCTCACTGCCACTCTCCCCGCCCCTCCTGCCCCCCACCCCAGCTCCCACCTTGCAGCACATCCTTCAGACCCACTGGCCGCTGTGGGGTTTATTTTTTAAATATATTTTTATTGATTTCAGAGAGGGAGAGAGAGAGAAACATCAGAGAGAGAATCATTGATTGGCTGCCTCCTGCGCACCCCCCACTAGGGATCGAGCCCTCAACCCAAGCATGTGCCCTTGACCGGGGTCGAACCCGGGACCCTTCAGTCCACAGGCCAACACTCTATCCCAGTGGTTCTCAACTTTCCTAATGCCGCGACCCTTTAATACAGCTCCTCATGTTGTGGTGACCCCCCAACCATAAAATTATTTTCGTTGCTCCTTCATAACTGTAATGTTGCTACTGTGATGAATCGTCATGTAAATATCTGATAGGCAGGATGTATTTTCATTGTTGCAAATTGAACATAATTAAAGCATAGTGATTAATCACAAAAACAATATGTAATTATAGATGTGTTTTCCGATGGTCTTAGGTGACCCCTGTGAAAGGGTCGTTGGACCCCCAAAGGGGTTGCGACCCACAGGTTGAGAACCGCTGCTCTATCCACTGAGCCAAACCAGCTAGGGCTGTGAGGTTTATTTTAAGGTCAAAGAGGACCAGACCACAAACGCTGTCTGAAGCTTGTTTTAACTCGTGCCTTTCCGCTGGGAGGAGTGTTGAGGTCAGAGGTCGGAGGTGGAAGGAGAGGCTCCCTCCTGCTCACGCGGGGTCTGTCTCGGCAGGTGGCCAAGGTGGAGTACATCAGGAAGAAGCCAAAGTTAAAAGAAGTGCAGGTGCGGCTGGAGGAGCACCTGGAGTGCACCTGCACGCCCACCGGCCCGAGCCCCGACTTCCGCGAGGAGGAGACAGGTGAGCTGCGCGCCCTCCCTCTCTTCCCCGTGTCCCGGGCCGGCGCCTGGCTGCTGGGGCTGTGGTGAGCAGGGTTCTGGGGGCGGTGGGATCGGGCTGCTGTGAGCTCAGTCAGACGCTTGCTGATGGCCAGCATGCCCTGGGGCCCTGCTGGGTCGGATTCTGCCGCCGTGGGCATCGGCGGGAGGTGGGCCCAGACGTGTGGCTCTGGCAGGAGGTTCAGGCTGCAGTGAGGGGGTGGGGTGGGGTGTGCATGCTAAGTCTCCGGCCCGGTTGGGGTAATTCGGGGAGACGTGTTTGAGGAAGGTCCCCACCCTGGTGGGAAGGCCGGTGCTGGGCCGCTGGCTGCAGCGTTGCCAGGGGGGTCCTGGCGGTGTGGCCGCCCGGGGGGCCAGGAGGTCGTGTGGCCGCCCGGGGGGCCAGGAGGTCGGTGGCGCTGATGGGTTAGGTTTCCTCCAGGAGACAAGCCACTCGGGTGCCCATTCCTGCAGTGCCCGCCGCCGGACAGCCCTCTTAGGCCCGCTCACCCTCCCTGCCCTTCTGTTAACAGGAAGGCGTAGGGAGTCAGGTAAAAAGCGGAAAAGAAAAAGGTTAAAACCCACCTAACCTGCCAACCAGGTAGGAGCTGTGGCTGGACGGGCCACGTCCCGCGGGGGGAGGGCGAAGGCTGATCACAGGGCGAATCACTGCGAGGAGAGGCCGCGGCCGTGATTGGCTGTGATTGGCCGTGATTGGCTGTGATTGCTCTGCGAGCTTGGTGTCCAGCTGGGCTGTGGGTCCCCTGCTCCCGCCCCTCCCGCCACATGGAAGCCTCCTCCACGGCCCTTCTGCCGGAGGCCCTGCTCTGGCTTTAGTCTTTTCCTTGACTGGGGGGCAAAGGCGTCTCCTGAGTGGAGTGGTTGGAGTTCCCTGGGCAGCAGTGGGGGCAGCTCAGGCAGGTTACTTGCTCCATTTGACAGGTGAACACACTGAGGCTGATAGACGTGGCAGGTAAGGGTTGCCGAAGGCTGAGGAGGTCTTTGAAGGTAGACGTTTGTGACTCGTGGACAGACAGGGAGACCAGAGCATGCAAGGCATCTCCAGGTGTCAGCAGGGACCCTCTTCCGTCCAGGCCCGGTGCTGTCCATCCTCAGAGGTGCCTCATGGCCCAGAATGGCTGCTAAAGCTCCAGAATCACACCCACACTCCAGACTGAAAGAACGAGTAAGGTGGGAAGAAGAAATCTCACCCAGGGGCTCACGCTGATTGCATGGGCCACCCCCCAGCAGCAAAGGAACCTGAGAAGCAGAGTCTTAGGGGCGCCTACTGCTTGCCGAAGAAAACGGGGTCTGGGCAGCCAGCATCAGCACGGAGGAGGCAGATTCAAGTCTTCCTGGTGTTGGCCTGTTCGGCTCTGGAGAGCCTGGTCCTTCCTCTGGCCCAGGGCATCCAGACAAGTGGTGGCAAGAGGAATTCCTGGAGACAGGTGTCTGGTTGGCAGTGTGGCTGCAGGGAGCTGCCAGGCAGGAGCTCGTGAGGCCTGTGGGCCAGGTGCACTTGTGAGGAGTCTCTGGGGAGGAAAGGCCCCAGGGCATGGTGCAGGGGCTGTCTGAGCCTCTAGTCTACAGGCCCCGTGGGCCAGCTGATGGCAGACCCTAAAGTGAGAGGCAGGTGTTCTGCCTTCGGGCTCTGGGCCTGGGTGTGGTGCAGGTGTTAGAATGAGCAGTGGACAGGTGAGGTAGCATGGGGTGAGCTGCTCTCAGCTCAGAGCTCAGTGTACATCTGCCTGGTCACAGAGACCCCTTCTGTCTGGCTGGTGGTTTCCATCCTCAGGGTTGCCTCATGGCCCAATGTGGCTGCCAGAGCTCCAGGAATCACATCATGCCCTAGGCTGGAAGAAAGAGGAAGGTGAGGAGAAAGACGAAAGAACCTTTTTGGGCCTCTGTTTCCCCTATGTGTACAGTGGGAGAATGGGGCTTGCTCCCAAGCCTTCTTCTTTTGTGAGATCTGAGAGTCTAGTCCCAGCTCTGGTAGGATGTTACCGAAAGAGTAATGAGCCCTAGGGGGTTTGAAAACTTGACAAAAACGTCAAATGCTAAGACTTGTCGCTGTGTGTGTACACACGTGTGCGCGTTCATGTGCGCATTCATGTGTGTGTGCCCTCGCTGCGTGTGCTCATGGGTCCGCCTCTCAGTGTCTTTCTCTCCCTCTCCCTGCAGATGTGAGGTGAGGATAAGCTAGCGGCCCTTTCCCGGGACACGGATGTACATGGCGTGTTACATTCCTGAACCTACTATGTACGGTGCTTACTGCCGGCGTGCGGTCTTTGTTCTCCTCCGTGAAAAACTGTCTCCGCGCGCACCCTGGAGAACAAAGAGACAGTGTACGTCTGTTTAACGTGACATCAAAGCGAGTATTGTGGCGCTGGGTGAGCCGCTCAGAGCTTCCTTGTCCAAAACAGCGCACAGAGCCCAGCGGCTCCGACACGCTTCCCCCGCGGGGATGGAGGGCGCCTGCGGACGGCAGCGACGGACGCCACGCGGATGGACTTCTGTCCGGGGTCACAGGTGCTTTGCCAAGGACACGGGTGGACCTGCTCTTGGCGGAGGACAGGCCGGCGCCGCGGCTGCCGGGGCACAGGAGCCTCTCGGGGCCGCCGCGGCCGTAGGAGCCGCATCTCCTTCTGTAGTGTTTAAGTCTATCCCGAACCTTCCTGAGAGCCTTAAGTGGGTTTTTTTTACACCATAAAGTGATTATTAAGCTTTCCTTTTTACTCTTTGCCTAGCTTTTTTTTTTTTTTTTTAAATTATCTCTTGGATGACATTGACACCGGTAACACCAGGCTGCTGTAACCGCCGGGACAGCGAGACGGTACCTTTCCCAGCAGGATGCGAGCGAATGCGATGTATTAAATAAACATGGTATACCCGCCTACAAGCATTTCCTAGATGTTTCTGGCTGCACGTGCTTCCCCTGGCCCCACCTCGTTTTGCTTTTTAATTTAAGCCACATTGAGAGAACCATGCGTGAACCAATCAGCCGCTGCCCGCCGCCCGTCCCCAGCGCTCCCCGCTCCTGCCGGGCGTGGCCGGGGAGGCGGCTCCCCGCTGCCCGTGTCAGGACACAACCCAAATTCTTTATTTTTGGTAAGATGTTACGCTTCCGTGTACTCAAGAGAAACGTGTGTGTGTTGCTTTTCGTTTTTGTTTTGTAAAGGTGACGTTTGTATTTTTATCTAATATTACCAGTTTTATATACCTGAGAGCCTGTTACGTTTTTTGTTGTTTTTGTTTTTTAACCAAAAGGGAAAGAAAAACACCAACAAAACCCATACACATGATACGCAATTCGTGGTCACATTTTTCTCGGTGGGTAACTGAGTCTTGGTTTCATCTCTGGTCTCGGCCCGTGGTGGCTGCCAGTGCTCCTGGGAGGGGAGGTCATAGTCTCTGGGCCTGGGGTGTCCCTGGCTGGCCCCCCCCAGCAGAACTTGGGGTGCAGCCTGCTCTCAGGACTGGAACCTGACGGGCATGGGTCAGAGGAGCCCCTTCGCCGGTGCCTGTAGCCATGGAGATGGAGGCGTCCACCCTTCAGAGCAGCCACATGGATGAGGAGGGTGAAATACAGAGGTGGGACCTCGCTCCCCATCCTGAGGCCATACCCCAGTTGCCTGTAGGGTTGTCTCCTGTGTCTGTGTGTGTGTGGCGGGGTTTTTATAAAGAAACTAGTGGCCCGGTGCACGGATTTGTGCACATTGAAAGGAAATTAGAAGAAATATTGTAACTTCACTCTCCGCCCTTTATAACAGAAGTGTCAACAAATTCACGATCGACAATGACATGGAAACACACGCGTGCGATCGGCGCCAGCGCGAGCTCTATGTGTGTGGTGCATGCGTGAGTCAACTTAGCCTCTTATAGAACAAGCTTGCTTCATTAGACCTGCTTTCCGATGCAGCTAAACTTTTTCCAGCCCAGCGAAGCACCCAACTTCTCCTTCAGGTAATTGTCAGCAACACAGCAGGAAATATCAACACGAAGCAGGTTATTATTGTAGATCACGCAGGGAGAACAAAGGGTGAAATATTTAATGCAGCCGTGTCTGACTATATTCTGCGCAGTGAGAAAACCTGACGTCATTGTCAAGGTCCACCATTTCTTGCTTCTGTTCAGTCGGGTCAAGTTTCTAAGCTTTCTAAATCTCTGCTTTCTGGCTAGTGAAAATAAATAGGATTCCACCGAGTCTCCTATCTGCCTACTCCAGGACTTCTGTGAGGATCAAATGAGATGAGGCAGGGAAACGCTCCACAGACATTTGGTCACAGTGTGCCATGTCTGCACCTGGCTGTAGAGCAAGTCGGGTTCCTGGGCTGAAGAGACTGCACGGAGGCCAGTCGCTAGGGAGACGAGGCTGGGCGGTGCCACGTGACGTCATGACTCGGGTGGACACTTAGCAGGTTAGCCTTTTATATATAGAGGCCAGAGGCTCGCCAGCCCCGCCCCCGACAGTCACTCCACTCTCCGGGCGATTTGCATGTGACACTTTTATTAGATAGGATTCCTCCAGCACAGGCTTTTTCCATGTGGTTCTTGGAACGACACCCCTAGGAGGTGTGGGGGGCAAGGGGTGGGCACATGGGTTGGGACCCCTGGAGGGCGGCACCCCCGGCTCGTGCGGGTGCTTCCTCGATATGGGCCTGACGCTGTGCCTGAGAATGTGCCTCACGTCATATATGAACATGTCACGCATATGCTTGTTCTGTGAGACGCCGAGGACACTGCTGTTTTTCTTGCGTGACACCAGCGGGTGAATGGTCTGCCCGGAGCCTCATGTGACCTTGGGGAGGAGAAGGTGCCACCGGAGAGGCCCGGTGCCTGTGGGGTCGGGCCTGCTGGCTGCCGTCGTTCCCGGCCCTTCCCACTGGCACCGGCACCGGCACCGGCACTGCCACCCTGGGCTGCACTGGGTGTGGCCGGCTGGCTCTGCAGTCCAGGAGCCTGTGCCCTTGAGCCAGGCCTCAGTCGGGCCTCCGTGTGGGCTGCGCTCGGGCAGAGCGAGGGTCAGCCATGCGAAGGCAGAGGTGGGGGCCCGCTGGGGTCGCGGTTGTCTGCCTTCTGCAGGAGCTCGTCACCCCTGCCTCCGTGTGTCCTCATTCCTGCGGTTCTGGGCCCAGCGTCACAGAACCTCCGGGGCAGTGCCCGGTGCGCCCGTGCACCTGCGTGGGGACCCGTGGTCTCCTGGGCACACCCTCCTTGCTAGCGTCGGAGGCTCTGTCAGGAGCTGGGAGGTCAGGTGCCAGGCGTTGGGCATGCCCGGTAGTGTGGGGCGTCTCCCTCTCTCCAGGCCCCCGTGCCCGGCCCGGGAGTGAGTGGACCCAACTGAAGAGCAGACAGCCTGGCCGCCAGGGGCTGGTCTCACCCTCTAGCCCAGGGGTGGGCAAGCTTTTTGCCTCGAGGGCCACAATGGGTTCTTAAACTGGACCAGAGGCCGGAACAAAAGCATGGATGGAGTGTTTGTGTGAACTAATATAAATTCAAAGTAAACATCATTACATAAAAGGGTACGGTCTTTTTTTTTTTGGTTTTATTCATTTCAAACGGGCCGGATCCGGCCCGCGGGCCGTAGTTTGCCCACGGCTGCGCTAGCCCCTGCACCTGGGCCAGGCTCAGACCCCCTGGGTGTGCTCAGCCTCGCATCCCTCCACGTCCAGTCCAGAGACAGGGAGCTGTGCCCTTGGCATGACCTTGACCCTCTAGGGGGGTCCTGAGCCGACGAGCAGTGAAGGCGGTGGGCAGAGGTGTCTCCGAGGGCCATTCTGTCTGGGGGCCTGGATCCCAGCGGAGGAGCCGGCAGGGGGCGGTTCCCTGGCCGGGACGGGTCTGTCTCCTGAGTGATTATTAAAGAGCCAACTGCTTCCCGTGCTCGGACAGGGATGCAGAGTGTAGCCTAGAAGAATGTCGATTTGGATGAACCGCGACAGTGAAGGGCTCAGGCAGTGCCCCACCAGGGTCACCCGCGTGGGCGGGCGCTGTGGGCACGGATGCCCACACCCCGTGCAGGGCGTGTCCCCACAGCTGTGTCACCTGCACTTCCTAGCACTGCCCCCCCCCCCCCCACACACACACTTAGAATCCTGCCCTGAGGATGAAGTTGGGAACCAGGGATGGCCCTGCCAGCGTGGGACCTCCTGCTGCGTCCTGCCAGCCTCACGCCCCACGGCTGAGAGCAGAGCGAACCCCTCAATCCCACCGGGCAGGCGGGCGGGTCTGCTCACCCCTCGGCCACTTGCCGAGCAGCCCAGAGGGTGGGGGAGGGGGCTCTGCAGGGCTCTTCTCTGCCCTGGGCTGCCCAGCATTGCAGCCTTGGGTGTCTCCTGTGACCTTCGAGGACCTTGCCCTGTGACCTTAGCAGGGGGGTCACTTCTCTGTGGCTGCGCTTGGGAGGAATCTTGGGGTCTCCTCACCCCGCCTCTGCCGTACGGAAGGGCGAGGTTGGAGCTGCTCCTTCGACAAGGGAGCGTGAGCCGGGGGCTGAAGCCAGACCCCAGGCCTGAGCCTCACCCAGCCGCCCACCCACCTCCAGGAGCTTCCCTGACCAGGAGAGAGTGTGCCCCCTCCTTCCTCCGGTGCATGTGGAGCTGAGATGAGGGGTGAGCCAGGTGACCCCAGACGAGAGGATGGAGGCTGCTGCCTCCGCTCCACCGCGGCTGGGCTTCCTCGGACGTGGGTCTCCAAGGGGCCCCTGAAGGGGGCAGCAGGCTGTTTGCTCCGAGCCTGGGCCCTCGGGGGCCCCTGGGGGCCTCGAACCCCATTGTTATCACTGCACTGAGGAGGTTGGGGGCCAGGACCCCGCCTGGCCGCAGAGTCGTTGTCACTCCACATTCTCCACCCCCCGCCCTACCCTGGCAGCGGCTGGAATCCACCCCCACACTCTGAGGGGCCTGGGGCGCAGAGCGTGTGGCTTCTTCAGAATAAAACGGTGACTGTTTCCAGCCAGGCCCTTGAGCTGCCAAAAAATGCGGAGCATTCACCGTCTGGCCCCTGGCCGCCGATCAGTGGGCAGCGTTCCTGGGAGGACGGACGCCCCGCACGCCCCATGGTGCTCCCTGCCACCCGGCTCCGCACTGCCTGGGAGGCCCCTGTGGTCCTGGGGTGTGGGGTGTGGGACAGACAGAGGGACAGAAACACCTCCCCCTCCAACTGTCTCAGGCAGGCGCTGGGTGGGGGGGCGAGGCACATGGCAGGCTCTGGGCCTGGGCCACAGAACTCCTGCCCCCCTCCCCCCACGGAGCATGGGCTGTGGGCCCCCCTCCCCCAACCCCTCCCTGGGGGACTCTGGGCCCTCAAGGCCACCTTGTCGACCCCATGTCCTGACTGGCAGGAACACACAGCCCGTGGCCGCCTGCCTTCATCAGCCCCTGGGCACACGGCGGCCGTGGCCTCTGCGGTCGGGCCATCGGAGGCCCTGGAAGGGAGGGCTGGGTCCGTCCGCTCTCTCGCTGTGCCCACCGCCCAGACGCGCGGTTGTCTCACGGGCTGTGCGTCTCGGGGCGGTTCCGTGGGACAAGGGGCAACTTCTCCGGGTGCCGAGGTGACGTCTGTTGGGCAGCTGGGCCTCTGCTGGGCTCCTCCAGGGTCCCCGTCCCCGCAGGGCCCGCAGGGAGAACACGCAGGTGGCACCTGGAGCACAGCCCCCCACGCCTGCCACTGGGGTCCGGAGGCTTCTGTGAGTTCCCAGGGAGGGGCCCGGGCCTCCCACAGCTGTGCTTCCGGAGGGAGACGGCCGCCTCCGACTTGCCAGGACCTGTGAGCGGGAGGCGGGAGGGTGGCTGCCACCTGGGCCGAGGCTGCGCCTTGTCAACAGTGTCGGCTCAGCCCCACCGGCGCCTGAACTCTGCCTGACCTCGGAGGCACTTCCCCGGTGTTTTTCTGGGCTGGGGCCCTCACCCTGTCCCGGTCACAGCCTGGCAGTGCCCGCAGCCCCCCTCGGATTGCCTCCAGGGCCAGCGATGGAGCACCAGATGCGGCGCCGGGGCAGCCTGCAGGGCCGGGGCTGAGGCCGGGGCTCCAAGAGGTGCATTCGGTGGTTGGTAGGTTGGTTGGCTGGTTGGTTCACGCGTCCATTCTCGGTCCCTGCACACCGAGGTGCAGCCCCGCGTCCGGGGAGGTGAGCTCTGGCAGCCGGGACCTCACACAGTGCCTGTGTCCTCGTCTGTCAGGTGGCTGAGCTGTGGGTTCGACCACGGGAGACCAGAGGCCCTCA